TTTCCAACACTGGAATTTGAACCAGCGACTTTCCAAGCACAGGCACAGCATGTGATGTAGTACCCCCCCCCCCCCACAATGAGTTCTCAGCACAATCTTTACTACTCCAGATTTTAGTCATAAACTACAATGAAAAATATATTTAAAGGATAAAAGATTTTTTTCACTTCCAGCATAACAACAGAATTCATAATAATTTCTTCTATACTAATTCCTCTGTCAATGTATTGTTTAATGTCACAGACTTAATCGAAACATTACACAGTGCGCTCAATGGATTGCCTTTCAGTTCACTCTGCTGTGATAGAAACACAGCATATTTAATGTTCAGTCCCTTATTGTACACACATCACACAGCCCTTGCATGGTCCTGTTTATTTGTAAATAAAAACAAAACCTAACCTAAAAAAATCACCTTTGATTTTTGTTTTCATATATCCCAGCTCAAATCCTGGACTCATCATGGTAACAGGTAACACATGTTCACCCCCCATGCCTGAAACCTCCAGTACCACTGCCTGCTTAGTCAGTGTTTCTCACCCTGGTCCTTGGGGACCCCCCCCCCCCCCAACAGTCCACATAATTGCTCCACTCCAGCTGGCAGCAAAAATGTGGACTGTCTGACAGGGAGCTTGGAGGAAGCAAACACGTGGACAGTCTAGGGGTCCCCACAGACCGGATTGAGAAACCGGATGTCAGGGTCAGCACCTGTTTTGTCCCAGTCTTGCGTCTTATCCCCGTTTGGCCAGCAGGTATCACTGGCCATCCTGTATTCTCCGTTATCCTAGTCTGTAGTGTTTCCCCTGCTCCCCGTTTATATTTGCTTTTGGTTTCATGCTCTGTGCCCATGCTTGTGTTTTTTACCTGTCTGTTATTCCCCAAGTGTAGATTCTGTTTCCTTGTTTCTGTCAGTGTCTTAGTTTTCCCCTCCCAGTCCCTGAGTTAATTAGTTCCCCCTGTTGCCTGTTCTTGTGCCTGCCCTTGTGTGTTTTCCTGATTGCTCATTGTCCTGCACCCTCCCCGATTGGTTAGTCTATGTCTATGTCTCACTCCCGCTGTCTCATTAGCCAGTTCAGTTTTCGTATTTAAGTTCCAGTCTGAGTTCAGTTCCCCAGTGGTTCATTGTTTGTATGTTGTTGAAGGTCTGTATGCCATTTCTGCATCTGTTGTGTTATTTGTTGCCTGCTTGCCTGCCTCTTGTTGCCCTGACCCATTTGTATTAGTCTTTGTTTTACTTTTACCGCTCATGGTCTGATTTTGTTTTGTAGTGTTTCCCAGTGTTTCCTGTCTTTGTTTAATAAACCCCTGTCCTGTGAGTCGCCAGTGGGTCATTCACCTCTCTGCCTGCATCATGCCTCGCCATCGCCTTGATCCTTCACACTGACCTTCTCACTTTAAATTTCAGGACCTGTGGATCTTCTATCAGAGAGAACATCGTTGTATTATGTGTGGGTCCAGAACCAGTATCAAATTCAGACTTATGAGCAATGGCTTGTACCTCCATTCTGCCTGAGCAACATCTGTCGCCCTTGGCAGTTCACTGTAAAGGCATATCACAATAAGTGCATGCATGCCATAGACACAAAAGAGCACCCCCATGAATACAGGCGGTTATTCCTGTCAGCCCACTAGAGACGCCCATTCAAATACACCAACAATAGGCTATACTGTATGTCCTTTTGTGGTCTTAGTGTCAATACAATGCAGCATCAAGCAAGTACTTGTTTGCAAAGAGTCATGCAAATCGCACTGAAAGGATGGTGCTCTTATAAGCATGGGACGTACTCAGTAAGTCTGACATGCTGACATTGGGTTTCGTGGCCCTGTTCCTGTCCTAAATTCCCTTTGTCTGTGGTGCAACACCTACATGCCAAGTTTTCCATGTCCCATGTCTAGTTGTGGATGGATCACATCCCTCTGAAGAACAAGCAAACAGCATGACTGCATGTAGCAGGCTTCAGTGAATAAACCATTTAACACTCAACTGCTGTATCATGTCCAGCCTAGTAAATTCAAATCCAATTAATGCTAAATTATCGTAGTATATCTTTTATTCTCATGTATTTGAAAAGAAAGGTTTGATTCTATTTGTATAAAGTTTCTGTATATTTAAATAAATAAAACTAAGAAAGTCACACCTATGCTTAGTCAGTGTGCATAAGTTACAAACAGACACAGTTTACAGACTTCAAAGCAAATATCATGTTGACGTCTCACCTGGGCAAAGCGAGACCATGTTTGCAGTGCTGCTGGCCCATCAGCTGCCCTGAGAATGACATCACAGGGGTGCGGAGTCAGCCTGTGCCTCTTCTGGCTGAGGTCACCTGTGCCACATTTCCTGCGTAAGATAAGAGCGTGCCGTGCAGAGCCACAGGTCAGCAGCTTGGGCAGAGCAGCTGAGGCGGAGCAGCTGAGGCAGAGCAGCGTGGGAGTAGCGGAGTGGGACTTGCAGCGTGGGAGTCGCGGAGTGAGGTACACGGACATGCCCGAGGAGGCAAAGGGCTCCCCGCTGGTAGGTGCTGTCCTCCCCCCGCACCACATTTACAGACCTCATCTTTTCGGGTTTTCATTCGGTGTTTATAGACTTTCGCGTTCAATTGGAGGTAGTACAGTAACAAGAAGCTCACGCTACAGTGGCCACCGTTGCGAGTGTCTTCTGATATTTTCATGAAGGTGCTTTTTTCTTTATTATTTTCAAATCAAGGCCGGTAAAGCTTCAGGCTAATGGTGGTGTTGTTCTAGCATGTAAGACTTGTCCTGGAAATACTGTGGAAATATATGGAATATACAAATAAAGTAGCACAATATTATGCTATCACAGTATTATACAGTTAAACATCCTCAAAATTAGTACACAAATGTGTAAATTTTAAATGACCATTTTTATGATTAGTTAATCCTGAAAATTTCTATCTACCTCTGCTATGATATTGTTTTGCTATATTTACATTGTATCAGTGCTCCTGTATTTGGATCTGTTTAAAGTCCATGATGGCACTCCGTATTGTGTTTTAAGTGAGAGAGGTGTGTCTACACATGTACGCGAAGGGAAATTGCAGGCGACATATTAGTGTGTTGTTTTAGTTATGTTCGCACTAAAAGTGGCCATGTTATTTATGAAACTGGCCGATGAAGCTGCTTGAGTTATGGTGGTACTAAATGTTATTTAGGAAACTGGCCGATGAAGCTTTTGAAAACAGTGAACAATAGACATTTTTCATGATCTGGTGTTAATGCATAAACGTTTTGTGACATGCATGTGTATGATACCCTGAGTGTCACTCGGAACCCTTAACATTGGGTGAGGTCACAATCTTCAAATCATGGACACAGGTGAACCTATCCCAGACTTTTTTTCTGTGACCGCAGATTTAACTTGACTCTTAAACTGAGCATGCTGCATTTGAGGCCTCACACATACATCCTGTTTAACCCTGATCCTGGAGTGCTGGTACCCAATAGGTTTTCTATCCTACCTGGTCTCTGATGAACCACAACTGATATCAGGCAGAGAGTGACTCATCAGGTAGGATAGAAAACCTGCCGGAAACTGGTACCCCAGGATCACGGTTGTCTACCACATTCTAGACGTTACCTGATTCTCTATGAGGTCAAACAAATTTATCATTTATAATTGTCCACTAGTACCAGCAGCCAGTATTGTGGCTTTTAAGTACACAGACAAAACATGAAGGTTGTTGGCTCACATCCCAAAAGGCTATAAACCCCTTTGTTATAGTCATTTTGGTCAATGAAGCCTTAAGCTTCACCCTTTCTGTATTTTTTGTGTCAGGGTCTTTAGCATAATATTGCCATCTCCAATATTATTTATTTTGTGTTATTGTCATAACGTATACAATATATATGTACATATATTCAGATGGTGGTGTATATATACTGTTTGTTATGTTGCTTTCATAGACTATTATTATTATTATTTTCATTACTATCATTATTTTTGTGCGCAAGGTGTAATAATATGGATAGAATGTATCACATTTGTTTTTATGTTATTTTCTTATGTCCTGATTTTAGTAATCATCCAGGTGTTTTTTGGTTTATTGTGCAATCCATTCCTTGTTTGGTTAATTGTTTTCACATTCAATCTGTCATCTGCTCTCTCATGCAAAATGGGATGCAAACAAATTCCCCAGCTCACCTGGAAAGGCTTTGTGAAAAGTGAGCTCCTTTGCATGTATGGAAAAGGGGACTGAAACGAGCCAGCCTGCTTAAACAAGCCAAGGGCTTCTCCGCTGCTTTACATAAGCGGTGAATGTGACCTGAGGGTGAATGTGTGACCAGGACATCACTGTCTTTAGCTTGTTCATTTGATGGGTGCTTGTAGTAAATGTTAATTTAATGATCCTGACAATGTGGCTTTTGTGTGTGTGTGTGTGTGTGTGTGTGTGTGTGTGTGTTGTGCCATCAGGGTTTGGTCCAGCAACAAGACTTATGCAGAAAATGTGGGAAGACGATGACTCAGGGGCCAAAGTGAGTGAGTGGGGACTTCAGGCCAGTCTCAACAGTATTATTTATACCAATGGTTGTCAAACTTATCATCTGGAGATCTCCCAAACAGCATTGGTCAGCTATTGAAACAATTACAATTCACTGGGTGGGGGCTAAATGATAAAACTTGCTAATGGATTGCAATCAATAAAATTAAAATAAAATAAACGTGCTTTAGCATATTTGGAAAATTATCTCGCAACCCCTCCCAAGTATTTGTCGACCTCCTGGGGGGGTCCCGGTCCCACCCCTCAAACCACTGATCTATCCCATTGTCTCACATTTGCATTGCCTGACTCAGACCTGTGTGTGTGTGTGTGTATCTATGTGTCTGTCTGTGTCTGTCTGTGTCTGTGTGTCTATGTATGTGTGTGTGTGTGTGTGTGTCTGTCTGTGTGTCTGTGTGTGTGTGTGTGTGTGTTTCTGTGTCTGTGTCTGTGTGTATTTTCTCGCGTGCCTCCACAGAGCAGTGCCGGGGTGCCGCTGCTTCTCTCTGCTGCATGAAGGGATGGAGAAGATGGCACTTAGCCAGAGGAAAGGCGAGCTGCAGGATAGTGTGCGCTTGGCCGCAGGACACGTGGGAGACATAGACTTCACAGGCTCCAATAAAACGCGGGGGAAGGTACTACGTTACGAACTGCAGCAACTCATAAGTCAGAAGGCAACACAGAAACACAAAACAAAGGGTAGGATGAAATACTCATAAAGACGACCTCAAAGCTATGCTGTAAGGGCCCAAAAGGCCAGAGAATTCAATGACCTTTATTCTTAACAAGGCCCCAGTCGCCTCAGGGACTGCGTGAGCTGAAATGAAGTAAACCAAGTAAATTTGGACAGGGGTCAGCAACCAGCTCTTGGGTTTGACTTAAATTCTGTGGTCATTTGATCACCAGACCTGCTCCGTTGTGGCTGTACTCTCCCTATAGCTGGGGACAGCTGGGTTTGACTAAAATCTTTGGGCATGTGATGACCAGACCGGCTCCATGTGGCTGTACTCTCCCTTTAGCTGGGGTCAGCTGGGTTTGACTAAAATCTTTGGGCATGTGATGACCAGACCGGCTCCATGTGGCTGT